AGAAGGAAGTGCAGCAGGAGGGCCAGGAGACCTCCTTGGATGGACAAGGGGCTGCTGAGAAAAATTAAAAAGAAAAAAAGAGTCTTATAAAAGGTGAAAGCAAGCACAGGCGACCTGGAAAAAATACAGAGATGTTGTCCGGGAAGCTAGGGACCAGGTTAGGAAAGCTAAGGCCCAGTTAGACTTAAACTTGGGTAGGGATGTGAAAGATAGCAGGAAGGGATTCTATAGGTACACTGCAAATAAGAGACAGGCTAGGGACAATGTGGGCCCTCTCCAGAAGTTATCAGGAGAACTGGCTACCCAGGATTTGGGGAAGGCTGTGGTTCTTAATGACTTCTTTCCCTCAGTCTTCACTGGCAAAGGCTCTGACCACACCACCCAAGTCTTGGAAGGCAGACGAAGGGACTGTGAGAATTAAGACCTTGGGCCCACTGTAGGAGAGGATCTGGTTCGAGACCATCTTAAAAATCTGAATGTGCACAAGTCCATGGGACCTGATGAAATACATCTGTGGGTCCTGAAGGAGCTGGCAAATGAAGTTGCTAAGCCACTCGCCATCACATTTGAAAAATCATGGCAGTCAGGTGAAGGTCCCAATGATTGGAAAAATGGAAATATAACCCCCATTTTCAAGAAGGGGAAAATGGATGACTGGACTACAGACCAGTCAGTCTCACCTCTGTGCCTGGCAAAATCTTGGAGCACATTCTCCTGGAAGGCATGCTAAGGCACATGAAAAACAATAAGGTGCTTGGTGACAGCCAGCATGGCTTCACCAAGGGAAAATCCTGCCTGACCAATTTGGTGGTCTTCTATGATGGGTCTATGGAACTGCTAGACAGGGGTAGAGCAGTTGATAACATCTACCTGGACTTGTGCAACGCATTTGACACTGTCCCACATGACAACCTTGTCCCTAAATAAGAGACATATCAATTTGATAAGTGGACCACTCAGTGGATAAAGAACTGGCTAGATAAGTGCAAGCAAAGAGTTGTGGTCAATGGCTCAATGTCCGGCTGGAGACCAGTAATGAGCGGTGTCCCTCAGGGACCAGTGTTGGGACTGGTCTTGTTTAACATCTTCCTCGCCGACATGGACAGTGGCATTGAGTGCGCCCTCAGCAAGTTTGCCGATGACACCAAGTTATGTGGTTCAGTTGATACACTGGAGGGAAGGAATGCCATCCAGAGGGACCTTGACTGGCTTGTGAGGTGGGCCGATGCCAACCTCACGAAGTTTAACCATGCCAAGTGCAAGGTCCTACACCTGAGTCGAAGAAATCCCAGACACAGCTACAGGCTGGGCAGAGAAGAGATTCAGAGCAGCCCTGCAAAGAACGACTTGGAGGTGTTGGTTGATGAGAAAATGAACATGAGCCGGCTTCAGTGTGGGCTCACAGCCCAGAAAGCCAACTGTATCCTGGGCTGCATCAAAAGGAGTGTGACCAGCAGGTTGAAGGAGGTGATCCTGCCCCTTTACTCTGCTCTCGTGAGACCTCACTTGGAGTATTGTGTACAGTTCTGGTGTCCTCAACATAAAAAGGACATGGATCTCTTGGAACAAGTCCAGAGGAGGGCCACAACGATGATCAGGGGCCTGGAGCACCTTCCATATGAAGACAGGCTGAGAAAGTTATGCTGTTCAGCCTGGAGAAGAGAAGGCTGCGTGGAGACCTCATAGCAGCCTTCCAGTATCTGAAGGGGATCTATAAGGATGCTGGGGAGGGAATTTTCATTAGGGACTGTAGTGATCGGACAAGGGGTAACGGGTTAAAATTGAAACAGTGGAAATTTGGATTGGATATAAGGAGGAAATTCTTTACTGTAAGGGTGGTGAGGCACTGGAATGGGTTGCCCAAGGAATCTGTGAATGCTCCATCCCTGGTGGTGTTTAAGGCCAGGCTGGATGGAGCCTTGGGTGACATGGTTTACTGTGAGGTGTCCCTGCCCATGGCAGTGGGGTTGGAATTAGATGATTTTAAGGTCCTTTCCAACCCTAACTATTCTACGATTCTAATTATAAAGCTGAAACATCTCAGGCTCCTGATCACCTCATGAAAACTGTGTTCTCTTCCTCTGGGTTACAATATGGTCTGGAAGAGTTGGTGTGATACTCCAAGTACTAGAAGAGAGTAAAGGGAGATGAGATGCTTACAGCTGTTTCTGGGAAGTAAAAGGGCAAGGAAATCAGTTACTGCTTAATTTTACATAGGAAACAGCAGATGGCTGACATCTATGAGGAGATTACCTATGTTATGTAAATATAAAAGATGCAAATATTTGTCAATTAAATATCAGACCTGCCTGGAGGAGAAAACTACCTCATATCTACTGATTAATCCATAGGATTAAGAGTTGTGGAAAGATGCAGTGGAGAAAGCTCAAAACAAACCAGACAGACTTGTTTATAAATCTAGTGCTGAAAAGGTTGACAGAGAGTCCAGAAAGTTTGGATAGTGGCTTCCATTAGTAAGGAGAAATGCTAGGCGAGATTCATCTTCCATGTATACCCATGCCTTTTTTGAAGACAGAAAGTGCTGAAACTCAAGCAGTTAGAAAAGGGTTTACCTACTGTCTGTCTTCATTGAAACTGTAGCCAGAAGATATTCCCTTTCTTAGCTCACTTCTCTGAGGTGAGTGCTGGTAAAGCAGTCCAGGAAAAAGAAACGAGGATAGGGAAATGAGAGATGCATATACATGTGCACAGCATTACAAGGCTTTAACTACAGGTATCTGCATTCATGGGGAGAAAACTACCCTTGCTCTTTGGCAGGAACAGTTAGAAAACTAACAGAAGTATCTTCAAAGTCCCTAATGAAGATAAAATTTGTTATTACAAATCAATTCTCAAACTCAAAATGCTAAGTCTACTTTCTTCAATCTACAATGTAATACTTTGGGGTGACAAAGTTCTTAGGTAATAGCTAAGACAGAAAGAACAATGTTAAAGTTAGTGTAAAAGAAGAACTTGTAATTCACAATGCTTATTTTTTGCCAAGTTAAAAATGGCTTGTATTATACATGAAATAAGACAGAAGTTATTCTGACATCAGCCAATAGTTTACTGCAAACTCTAAGAACTAATCTAATAATTTCACTTATTGGTAAAAAGCCTGAATTTTAGATTCATTGAGTCAGTGTTTGTAATATATGAATTTATCATGAATAGATACTGCATCATTAAAAGAGAAGTTAAGTAACTCATTGTGGCTAAAACTGCCCAACACATGTGCATGCATCTCTCCACCTACTTTCAGGCATATAATTATGCACCTGTATGTATTACAGGTAATACATTTTAAAATTTTAAGACACAGAGCCAGTCCTAAGTCACAGACCTTTAAATTACATGTTGTGTTTAGTCTGTGTCTTAAATTCACTAGCAGCAGCTCTGTTCAAAGGTAGAATTATGTTCAAAAAAATCCGAAACAAACAGCAAACCCCAAACCAAAAACTAAGCCCCCAACAAACAATATTAAAAACAGATATTAAAAAAACCCCAACAAAATGCAAACAAAACAACTTCCCCTCCCCCACCTCAACAACTTCAAAAAGAAGTTTTCTAGAGACTTATTGTGGACAAGCTATATCAACTTCAGTTACCAGGGAGGAAGTACTTCTGCATGTCTCACTAGCCAGGTCTGTAATCTAGTTTCTCAGAATCTTACTGACTTGCCTAAAATTTAGCTTAATTTCACTGAGAAGGGGGAAAACACTTTTCATGGTAACAGAGGACACTCATTTCCCATTGGGTTAAGATGTACTGGCATAAAATCTAACATTTTTATGAGCAGAAAATTCACTCAAACTACAGATCACTTGGGCTTTTTCTTTCTATCTCAGGCATAATAATTTTTATGTCTAAATAACTGAGAAACTAACCATGTAAAATCGGGGCTTTTTAGTTATTTTCTTATCAATTATCTAGGCTATTTTTTATTTAAAAGTATTATATATACAGAAAAAAAAACCCACAATATTAGAAAACATATACAATGGCTTATGCACAATTACATCCACCTAAAGCAGTCTGATAGTTCCGAACTCATCCAGTTCAAACACATCTTCATATAAGCATTCTGTGAATGTCACTATATATAATGAAGTAAGGTAATAGCATGTAATCACCAAATTACTTTATAGGTCACTGAATCTGCTAGCATAGAAGGACAAAACAATCTTTTCCCATATAGGACAGGTGAGAAACTAAAATCTATCCTGTATAGGATAGAAAGACATGACAAAATGTTACTAATGTTCACTCCTTTCTTTTTCTTACTCAATACAATGGAAAATAATTTTAACTCCTGTATGACAGATGTTTCGTATTTCCTTACAGGGCATTTTTTTTCCTTTTTTAAATTAACATAATTAAAATTGTTTTGGAAAATGTAATGAACTATGAAATACTAGACCAATAATGCCTTGCAAATATATTTTGCATTGCCCATAGATTTTGAAAGAAGTCAGTGTAAAAGAGGCAAAAAGATGCCAAAAATAACAGGAAATATTAGAAAACATCACAAGTAAAAAATCTCTATATTTTCAAGCTCTCACAGGTAAGATTTGAAAGTACCTATTATAGGGTCTAAAAAACCCGATTAACATTCTTGGGTTTATTTTATGTACATGAAAGTAGGAAACAGTTAATCTGTGATTTTTAGTAATGTTAAGATTTACAAAGTGGTTCATAATTTTAGATTAAAATTCAGTGATCTTTGACTAAAACCTAGAAGTGTATTATCACCTTATACAGTAAAGAAAAGTTTATAAAAAACACATTTGAGTGTGGCACTGAAACTTATAAAACACTGACTAAAAGAACTGCTGAGAAACATGGAACACGTAAGTACAAGGAAAAAGAGGATCAGTAAATTACTAAAGGGTAAAATAACATTCTCTTAAAGAACATGTTATGTTGAACCCTTTCAGCCTTAAAGTTTTTAAGACTTCTAGGGAGCTGCTGTGACTCTCTATTCCCACACAAAAACTCACTTGTTTGATGCGGTCTGGATTAACAGTGGTCTGAGGCTGTAGAATGCTGACAGGTTCTGTCTTGGCCACATTTTGAGGCATTTCTCGAATCTTCTCTGCAATGAAGCCATGAACCGCATTTAGTGCTTCAACTGTTCCCTGGATCAGACACACCCGCTCTGTAGTACCTGCAGATATCAAAATTTGATCATAATAATGTTGATCTTTCAAGATCCCGCAAACTGCTTTAATGATAGCATAAAGATGGTACTAAAAATTGCAAAACTGACTAGCAATACCTCTGTAAATACACAAATGATAGATTTCCAAAAGATAACATACATATGATCTGAAGATGTTTTAAACAACTCTTATTTGTGTAGATTCTACAAAAATGTAACTTTCCAAGCCAATACAGATAATGTAAGTTAGACCTAAACAAACAAACAAACAAAAAAACCCCCACTAAAACTCCCAACATTAGGTTCTGTTGAAATATTAGGAAATACCATGAGTTAAACCATGTTAATCTTATCTTTTGTATACTACCTCATAGAATTTGCAATCCTATGCAGATTGCCAATAAACTTTAAATAACCATCACAGCTTTAGTTATAGTTCTTTGGAAAAGCTGCACAAAATCACAGGCATTATGCAAGGATTAGAGAAACGTACCAGGGAGGTAACCACCTTCATAAAAGTCCCTTCCTATCAAGTTTACATCTTTAGTAACATCTACTGTTATCAACTCAAGGTATGCTCCTTACAACACTCCAACACAGTCTTTAACAGAGAATGGAACAGTAACCTTAGTCATTTTCAAGAAAAAATTGGCTTTTATTATCAAACGCTTTTCATCTGCTTCTGTGGATGATCTCTAAAGATTAAATATTTTATTACCCAAGGATGAAACAGTAGACTAAGAGCCCTGCATGCTCATTAACTTAATGTATTCATGTACACTTACAAGTCTTTCAAAAACTTTTTCTTAAGAAAGTATCAGGCGATTCTAAAATTCAATTTTGTCTAAGAAGCTTTACAGCAAAACTTATACAATGAGAAACATTTTTTCTCTATTAAAATATATTATTATAAAAGAACTAAAAATATGATTAAAACACGTCAATCTATTTCAAAAGCTGTCAGGCTAATAATCCAATCATCCTTGAGGTAACATTTAAAGTTGAAACGGTTATATTCTTAAAATAAGTTATACAAGTATCAACCAAGTACACATTTCCAACAGCAAAATTTTTAGAATGTTTATTTGACCTGTTATAGTGTCTTTTCAATGAATGAAAAAAGGGAGCTTGCCGTAAGTTTGCATCTCCACGGGAAGTGAAACTTGGTTCCTAGACAAAGTTTTCTTTCTTTTTTTTTTTTTCCCCTTCCTTGGCTTCCTCCCCCTTTCACAAATGACTCCTGTGGTTTCTGTGTAAAGCAATCCATCTCTAAGAAAATGCTCTGGGGAGTCTTTACGCTGCAGTATTAATTGTCTCCTAAATGATGAGATGTGATGCGGATTGATCAATGCAGCTAATGCAAGATTTCTGTAGGTCAGCAGACAACACACCGAAACAAAACACAGATCAGGTTACTTCCGAGCTACCAGAGTCTAATACAGAAAGCACTTTACAAGGATGACTACTGTCAAAACAGCTGAAAGGAAAACAGTCAATGTTAAATACGAATTTCACTAGACTTGACACTAAGTGACTAAAGCATATTCCAGAATCTATGTGATTTTAGGAGGTGCAATATAATAAAAATATGTGTCATGTCTTACTATGGACCAAACATACATTTTAGTCTGTATAAACCAGGATGCAATAAGCTGAAATCACTGCTCCATGAAGACACGCAATTGTGCAAAAGCACATTTCACGCAGAGTAAAACGCAGTTTTAAATGACAATATGTAGCACCTTTTCTTCAAGGGTTACATCAACAAGAAAAAAAAAAAGTGGAGAAATCGTATACACGTACAACTGGGAATTGCTTTAATTTTCTGAAGTAATGTTGTTGTATTGCTTCACACAACTCTAACAGCTTTTCACTCAGATAACAGAGTACAATAATTTACAAGAATCACACAAAAGGAAAACTGCCAGATTTATGACCAACCTGTATAACAAAAATAAGCCTATGAATCACTAAAGTTGGTGAAATTTGTTGTTTAAAAGCTTTAAGGCTCCATTAATGTCTAAAGTAAACTCTCAGATTATTTATCATGTTCAGTTAACAGCTGCATCCACTCTACACATTTCTGTGAACACAAGCCCAGCCATCTATATGCACACTTCTGTCATACAATTTTGATTTTTCAAACTAGAATAATATATAAAATTATGAGAATGCATTATGATAATCAATGCCTTTGGGGGAGGGGGTAACACTGCCAGTATAAAACTAGTATATTTTTTAAATTACTTACAATTAAAAACCGAAATTAGGATCATGGTACATGGATTAATGATTGATTAGGTGCATTATACATTGTCTTCTACATGATAATTTTGCTACAGAAAATGACCAGATGTGGCGTATGTGGGCATCATCCCTGTACATTAAAAAAAACCAGTCAAAATATTTTTACGTACATTTGATAATACTAAATAGAAAAACAACTATCTAAATATATCATGATGATGTTGCTACAGTAATTTCATGTTAACTTTTTCTAAGAAGCCAAGTAAATTGCTCGGTATTTATAAGTGGTCTAATTTTCAGCAAGAAAAATGTGGTTTCTCTCCTCTTTCATCAGAATTAAAAATTAATTTGCATGCGTGTTTTAACTTTTCCTTACCAAATAAAAGAGGCAGAATGTAACTGAACAAAAAAGGCTATCTGTACTGCTCACCAAAACAAGATTTTTAAAACCAATACAGAAAAAAAGAAATCTTAATCAGTTGTGGGTTGCTTTTTGTGGGTTTTTTTTAGCTTTTAGGGGATAATTGTTTTCAGACTATTTTTTTCCTATAGAAATAGAATGCCATTATATAAAACAATCTTTCTCTGCAGTTCCTTGGGGGTGGGGAGCAACTGGGGGGGGGGGATATGAAACTATTAGCAGCCATCAACAATTTAAAAGTAAGTGAATAAAAACCTGCTTTCAAGCCTAATAAGTTAGCTATGCCTAAATGCTTAACAGCTTGCAACAACTTTATTTTAATAATTCATTTTTCTTCCACCTCCTTTAACTACCTAAAACTTTACTTCTGGCAAATATCCTTGGCAACTGCATCACAGTAATTTTATCAAGAACTTCAAAAAAACAGACCAGAAGCTTTTAAAACAACCAATAGAATAAATGCTAGAAGATGCAACAGGATAAAGGATGCTAATGCTTCCAATGTTTTTCTTTCTATATTTAATAGGCATACATCTATATATATGGCTACCATTAAACTCTTAAGTGTTTGCTTAAAGACTAATTCAATGTGTAAGAGTTCTACTGTATTCACAGAAACACTCATTAAATGTCAAGTATGTTTCTGTATTTTATAAAGTTGTAAGTTTGGGGGAATGCTGTGTACCTTCCAGAAAGGACTGCCTGGCATTTATATGACTATATACTTTTCCTTGGGCTTTTACACCAATCTTAAAGATCATTTGAAAACCTAAAAAGCACAATGCACTACCAGCCCAGGTTAGCCCCAATATATCCAGCTAACTAAGTTTCCTTATGTTTTTCCAGAATACCATGACGATTTCTTTGACACCGAAAGGGAAAACCTGACAGAGGAGCCAAAACTAAAATCTTAAATAAATGAAAGGCTGCACTGCAATCTCTCATCAGCTGATCTGCATTAAGCTTTTCATCTGACAACTCACAATACAGCAATCTACTAACACTAATGTCCTATATATTTATTTTTGTGATCAAATGTCTTTTAGAGTGGGATTCTGTATAACACTGTCACCAGCTGCTTCAGGGTAACACTGATCTTGCAAAAGCTCTCAGTAACACAGGACTGCACTTTGACACGACGACAAAATGCACACAACCTTAAACAGCAAGACATTAAGAACATCCCTTGTACGTGCAGTCCCACAGAGATCACAAGACAGTTTTCTCCTTCAGTCCTTATCTTCCCTGTTCTTTAACCTTTGTTTCTTGAGAGAGAATTAACTGATCTTAATATAGAACCTCTTCTCATATTTATCACAGATAGAAAGATGCCTCTCTTAAAACAAAGCCTGATGATCTAATAGATTTCCCAAACTGAAAAGGGAGCAAAGGCTGGTAGGAATTTGAAAGCACTGATGTTCTGCATTTGTTTTTATCCAGACAAAATAATTTTGGACAGTTTGTACAAAATATACAAGTAGGGAGTAAAATGTAACTTTTTCTAATTAAAACAGCATTTTAAATAGCAATTAAAATGGCTGAATAAAAGTAAAAAATATTGAAGAGAATTTATGAAAGAGACTATCTCCCTGTAAGAATTTATTAATATCTTTGTTACAAAAACAGGATACCCTTGACTTTGATTTTAAATTTCATGATTACTAACTGGATGATTAGAGCTCCACTCTTCTTTCAGAGAGAAATAAACTGTTCCCTTTAAAGTTTCATTTGCAGTTACTCCCACGTTAACATCAGGAAGAACTTCTTTACTGTGAGAGTGACAGAGCACTGGAACAGGTTGCCCAGGGGGGTTGTGGAGTCTCCCACATTGGAGATATTCAGTGCCTGCCTGGACAAGTTCCTGTGTGATGTACTCTAGGTTACCCTGCTCTTGCAGGGGGGTTGGACTAGATGATCTCTTGAGGTCCCTTCCAACCCTTGGGATTCTGTGATTCTGTGATTCTACAAATTTTAACTATTAACGTTTTCTGCAGCTACATTATCCTTCACATGAGTCAGGCACCTAATAAAAGCAGAAAGTTAGAATAAGTGGTCTATTTCTTGATACATGTTAGCAGACGTGATGATTAACAAGCACGTGCATTTATGCATGGGACTTGCTGAAATCTGAAAAAGTAAGTTAGAACTTGGGGTCCTCTAACATCAGTCCTCAAGCATTTTCTGATCAGGTGTTTGCAGGAAGCTTTACTAGCTTTAGCAGAAGAAACCGATTGCTGAACTCATAACACATCTTCTAGGCATCCCATACAGATAGCAATGCACATATATGTGCATATATATACACATTCATACCCACATATATTCCAATTTGTTTTAC